CTTGTGAGTAATTAACCATTTTTCTTTTTTTTTTGTATTAAACAATCTATTAATAATTAAGATTATTTAAATTAAAATATTCTATTTTTATGACGTTCCTATAATTTTCATTTTTCATTTTACTTTTACTTTTTATTTTTTATTTTCATTTCATTTTTAACGTACTAAATAGGTTTCATTAATTTGCGTGTACTTTACCTCCCCCCCCCCCCCCCCCCCCAGTTAATTATAATTTTATTATATTTTTTTTTCGATCAAAAAACCGTTAAATATTTGAAATGTCAATTCGACCAAAACGAACGTTGCGATTCGTCGTTACGTCATCGAATTAAAAACAAGCATGTTACGTTGATGCATTACACTTAAATAGAAAGTGCATATATATTCTATATATGGATGTATTCTATGTGTGTATTTCTATTCTGTGTGTATTTCTGTGTATAAATATGTACGTGTGTGTATGTATTTGTGAATCGTGCAGTCACACGAAAAGTGCATCCAAGACCACGTGACTTTGACACATTGGCGCGTTGAGTTTAACGAATTGACCGCTACGTGGCAGCACTGGCTTGGTCATTCTTCTAATATATTGTATATATAAGAATATTTTTATATATATAATGTATATATGTATATATATAACGCATACATATAAATGTATATACATATATAAATATTTATTTTGAATTAACTAATCTTTCCTCAAGTGTTTGCTAATTGATAATGATTTAGCTCGTCAAACCATTACGAGGTTATATTTGAGAAAATATTGGTAATCGATGAGGTCATTGATTTTTTTTTTGATTTTTTTTTTTCAAAAAACAAATAAAAAGAACAAAATTTGCACGATAGAATTCTCTCCGGTCATATTGACACACCCGTTATACGTATCTGCTTTTTTTTTTAATTATAATATGATTTTACTATAGTAATATATGAATAAACATAAATTATATATTTGTTCGTTATAAAACTAAGTTATCTATCATAATGATTTAATTGAAAAATAATATATCTGTATTGTAAATTATAATATAATGTTTTATTATATGTGTATAAAAATTTATTTGATACGTATAATGTTGTTTATCCGAATGAATTAATAAACAATGATACTACGTATAATCGAATTAACGATTATAACATAGATTCGGTGCAATATTGCGTAACAAAAGTTTGCATATGGTTGGTCAGTTAATAATAAGATTACTCTAATTACATTTGAATCTTTTTCCAACAGACCTAACTACGAACCAACCGGACGATTGATTTTTCTGTTATAATAGTCTCCTCCAGTTGCGATTTAGTGTTTAAATTGCAAATTACCTATGACTCTACTACCTACATACTATATATAGGTTAACAGTAATTGTTGAAAATGAACTAACGTACACACGTGTATATGTATATACGTGAGTACACTATACTCAAAAGTTTGAAAATTTACTGTAAATTCTAAAAAACTATATTATAATTAAAAGAAACAAATGTTTAACTATTCATTACACTTTAGAGTATTTCAGGTTGATTTATTTATCGACAAATATTTTGTTACATTTTATGTTATTTATTTATCTTTTTTTTTTTGTATTCAGGAATATTTTCTTTTCAAATTAGCCTTTTATTTAAAAAAAAATTGAAGACCTGATACGTGGATTAATTAAATATTTTTCTTATACTACTTTTGTGTATAGAAGTTATCAAAGATGTTCTAACAAGAATGTTCATACTTAACACGTTACCTTGAACTAAATTTATAAATTCTACGAGATCTCACGTTATAGGGGATATATAGGGATATAGGGGATGTATAGGGGATTTATAGAAAATGTTGAAATTTCTATAAAACATAATTTAACTTGTTAATATATATATATATATAATTAATCTTATAATTATAATATGGAAAACACGCGTAATTGTGTGTGTCTAATAAAACATTAACAATTTATTTTACATTTTCTCACACCCCGTGTTTTTTTAGTTTAGAAAATATTACTTCTTTTTTTTTTTTCTTTTTCTTTTCTTTTTCATTTCAACACTTATCGTTAGTATTACGCATTTTCTTTTCATAATTAAAATGCGAGTTGTATATGCGTTTAGATATCAATTTCATACTTTAATAATAAAAAAGAAAAAGGTATAAATATCGTACAAGGGTCGTATCAAGTTTCGATTACTTTTTTAATAATAAATAACACAAACAGGAAACTGTTATATCGAATAATAAAATATTTTAATAATAAATCATACACAAATATATATATGAAATCTAACGATACCAAAGGGCTGCTTTCATCATTTTTTTTTACACATAATAACAATGAAATCATTGTATTTGATTTAAAAAAAAAAAAAACCAACACCAATTAGAAACTTTTTTTGTTCAATACCAACGTATACTCTACTTTCATTTCATAGTTATTCATTTAAATATAATATACAAATCTCGAATAATAAAACATACAGATCGTTGATAATTAAAGAAAACAATTTCAATTAGATGGAAACATTGTGAGATTTGAAATTAAATTGATAACCTTCTTCGTATTCTATATCTTCTTCTCTTTCATTTTTTTTCTTTTTTATTTTATTTTATTATTTTTTATATATTAATCTTTATCGTACTGGATAGTAGTAGTAATCCGATCGTTCGATCACGGAATTTCAATTTTGATATCGGTCCGTCTAGCTTCTGCGGTCACCGACTCGTCTACCCCCTCCCCCTTGCCCCCCATAACCACCCCATCCACCTTTACTTCGGTTGTCGGCTGTCACCCGATAGGAAACTGAGGTTTATTAACAATATTTTTACGATTTCATGTGTACAACTTACTTAACGTATAATATAATAAAGTTATAGTTGATGTTTGTATCTTGTAAAAGAGTGATAGATAAGAAAAATAGTTGTAGGATTTATTTAATTATCGTAATTGAAAAAAAAATGTACAAAATGGGGATGATTGTTTTCTATATCGTGTCAATCGAAATTAATTTTTCTTTTTTTGTCTTTTTTCTTGTTCAATATAGTAGAATAATCAATTTAATTTATTTTAATCATCTTATTTTAATAATCAATAATAATAATGAAAATTTAGAGTTATTTTTTAAAACTCTCGATTCGAATATTAAAAATAAATATTCAAATTAAATTAAATGAATTTAACACAAATACATTAAATGTTAAAATTAATCAATTATTTTATTTCGTTAGTATATGATTTTTGATGTATCATTATTGTTATATAATAAGAATAATGAAAATTAAACAAATAAACAATTAATTTAATGTGTATATTAATTTTTTTGTAGAGTATCCTTTGGCTCCAGTAAAGGATCGATGGTTGAGACTCTTGTTTATGAGACTCCAGTTCAAGAGGAACCTGAAATCAATCATTTTTTGGACCATAATGGCCGCTTACCCCCACCTATGATACCTGTACCTGACACCGAGTAAGTCAATCAGTTAATTTTAATTGATCAATCAATAATTAAATCGAATTAATGAGAAAGCTTTTTGTTTTTTTTGTTTTTTGAAAAAAAAAAATTATTGCTTAATCGTATTTTTAGCTAACACATACACATATATATATATATATATATATACTTTTTCTATATAATACTTGCATGGTTGCTTACGTTTTAAATGACGTCATTAAAACGGCGCACCTAGAACCGAAATAACGTTTCGCCATTAATCGAAGCGTAAGTACTTTACTTATAGGTGCACTTTGCCGTTTCTAATCACGATGAGAAATCGATATTTTCTCTATGAGTAGAAGCTTTTTACTAATCGAATGATTTTTCCTATTATTATTATTATTATTATTATTTTTATTAACCTAATACGAAAGTAACAACGAAACCTAACCTAACAATCTAATGCGAAACTTACAACGAAATAAATAGTTTAATAAAAGTTAAACGAAATTTTTAAAATTTATTTTTCACTAAATATAAAAGCTTCCCTTCGGTGTTTGATATTTATAAATTTATTATTTTATATAGATTTTTTTTTTATAAAAAAAAAAAAAAAGGAAAGAAGAAATTATATTACGCGTATATAATTTTTAATTTAATTGTTGAAATGAAAAGTTTATTTAATGAAATTTTTTAATGAAAAGTATTTTTTATTACGTTATATTTATTTATTTATCACAAAATATAAAAGCTTCTTCGGTGTTTGATATTTAAAAAAATTTATTATTTTAAATATAGGGGAAAAGGAATATAGTAGAAGTAAAAAAGAAAAAAAAACAGGAATCAAATTTTCTTCTAAATAAAAACAAAAGACAAAACGAAATAATAATTAATAAAATAATGTTAAGAATAAACTATCAGGGTGAACCAAAAATTCGTACCTTATTTTTTCCTGTTGAAACTTAACTTTGAAACTAAATAAGTAATGGATATTTGGTTTTTGTAAAATTTAAACTTTAAAAATATTAATTAAAAAAAGACACGAATTTTTAGTTCATACTAATAATAAAATAATGTAAAGTAAACTAATACAACGAATTAAGTTCAAATGAGAAATAACTGCTGACATATTTCAAATCAGAATTTGTCTACGTACAGCGTATGCAAACGGAAAAAAATTTCTTTTTATTATTTTTATTATATTACCAGCTTTTTTCTTCTTCTTCTTTTTCTTTTTTCTTTTTTAAATAGAAATTCTCTCATCTCGTACGAAACGCGTACTGACCACTCCGGTTATTTAGCGGAACATTAAATGTCTGACAGGTTATACGAACATTAATAAAGAATACTAACTTCGATATATAAACGATAAAAACTATTTCCTATTTTTTTATATTTATTTTCAACTATTTGCCTCTTTTTCTTTCTCTTTCTCTCTCTAACATACATACACATACTAGTTTTTTTTTCAATCACGTAATTTGGTTCCTCTTTTTGTCAAATACTTCGAGATATCGTTATATCTCAAATAGAACGTTCGATTATCGGACTCCGATACTCATTGGTGTATCAAGCCAACCGGTTTTAACTCATCTAGTGATTTAAAGAAAATCTTTTTTTACTCTACTCTTAGTTTTAATTATTATTATTACTAGCAAAAAATTACTAGTAAAATTACTAGCAAAAATTACTAGCAAAAATTACTAGTTCATCTTCTGAACAAGTGGGTATTGTGATTTATTTTACTTTACCTTAGCTGATTTTTTTGTATGGCAGAAAACCCTCAAATGAATGAAATCTCTTTAAATAAAAACATTCTAAAGAAAATGAACGACCGATATACAAGCGCGTGCATATATAGAAAAAAAATTAGGATTGGTGCGTTAGAATATGTTTCGTTTATTTTTTTAAATATTTCTTATTTTGTTTTCTTTGTTAAAAAAATAAACAGTTGTTGAAAAAATTACAAAATAAAAAATAGCAAAAATAAAATATTAAACTTTTATAATATAT